AGGAAGGATGAGTGGAAGGATGGGTGAGTGGAGGAATGGATGAGTGGAACGATGGATGTGTGGAAGGAAGGATGAGTGGAAGGATGGGTGAGTGGAGGAATGGATGAGTGGAACGATGGATGTGTGGAAGGAAGGATGAGTGGAAGGATGGACGTGTGGAGCTGGATGGCTCCAGCGCTGAGTGGTTAATTTTCCAGGTCAGCCTTCCGCATCGGACCGTTTGCCGCTTTGCACGTCGCTGAGTTATAGTGCGGCTCTCTTACTACAGTATAAGAATGTAAGTGCATCTATGGCAGAAGAAGTTAATTTAGCGCCCCTGCCACAGAGTGGCCGCTCTCACCCTACAGATGCACAGACTTTAGCAGGAGCCGGCTACGTAGCAGCAACGGAGAGAAACCAGGTCTCCGGCCAGCAAGAGCTCACACTTTCATTTTGAAGAAAAAATAAGCGAGATATGAGATTGGCTTTGGTTTCAAAGTATCACCCCCAAATGTATGTACTGAGTTTGGTGAGCCCTTGTAATAGCACCAGGAGGGTGAGCACTGAGCCCGACTGGGGTGCGAGAAGTGAGTGGAGATGGCCCAGAGTTGAGACACGCAGAGACCCAGACCCCAGGCTTCTGCCGTCTGGTGCTCTGCGCCTCCTCAGGTCTCCGCAGAGTCCCCACACTCCAGAAGAGAGATGGAACAGTGTCAGCATCGGGAGGCAGGGGTTGCCAGTCCCCTAGACACGGTCCAGCACAGGCGTGGAGGGTGAGAATGGCCCAGTCGCATGACAGCTGTAGAAGAGCTCTCCACTGCGATCGAAGAGCAGAAGCAGGTCCTCGAAGTGTGAGTGTTCCCAGACTGATCTAGACACAGACGGACAGAGAAGGGGAGAGTTCAGTAAAAGGTCGAGAGAGAAGACAGGACCAAGAGCCTGGAGGCCCTCGTGGGTGTCATGGATTCTGCTCTAAAAGATGAATCCACCGGTGACGTCGAAGGAGAGAGTGGCATGGTTTTGTTTAGTACATATGCTTAAAGAGCCTTCTGGCTGCCTTCGGAAAATTGGAGGCTGGAGTGCCGTTAGAGTTGCTGCATTTCAGGCAAAAGGACATTTTATTTTTACTTTATTTAAAAATGGTTGACAAATGAAGATTGTTATATTCAGGGTGTACAATGTGATGAGCTGCCATCCCTGCATGTCGTGTAATAATCGCAACAACCTCCATGACCCACCGGCTGGACGTGTTCTGTTTTGTTTTGTTTTGTTTGTTCTGTTTTGTTTTGTTTTGTTTTGAGGGGGAGCAGCTGTGGATTAGAAATAAACACAGAAATAAACACGCAAAGACACACAAGCAGAGAAAGGCAGGGACCCAGTGGACCAGGGGCAGCTGTGACCCCAGCCACTCTCGGTTTATTCATTTGTAGGGGGAAGGGGGGAAGGGGAAGGGAATGCAAAGCCTGTTGTTTTCAGATGTTAATCAGCTGACGGTGGGAAACCTCTGGCACCTCCTGGTCCTACGTGAACTTTTTCTTATCTTCCCAGGCCTTCTCTGGCTAACACATAGTTTTTTTTCTTTTTTAATTATATTTATTTTAATTTGAACAGAGAGAGACACAGAGCGAGAGAGAGAGAGAAGGAAAGTGAGAAAGCAAGCCACCAGGTCTGGGACTAGAACCACACTTGGCCGTGTGGGAGTGTCAGCACCTTAACCACCGGGCCACTTGCTGGTCACATAGTTTTTTTCAGCAGAGACTGCCTTGCAGTTTTTCAGAGGCAGACACGTATCCTTTGTTAAGGGCTTTCACTAGCCTTGCAATGATAGCCCAAAGAACGTGTTTCTGCATATGTTTAAAAGTCACCATTGGGGGCTGGCAGGTGGTGTGGTGGCTAAGGCGCCAGACTCCCACATGGCTGACCACAGTTCAAGTCCTGGGCTTGGTGGCTTGCTTTCTCGCTTTCCCTCTCTCTCTCTCTCTCTATTTCTCTGTGTTGCTCTGTAGTCAAATTGGGGGTGGGAGGGTGATGATGATGAATAAAATTCTATTAAATAATTCTTAAAAAAAAAAAAGTCACTATTGTTCTGTTCCTATCCGACCACTCCCTACAACAATCACATTAGCGAACACATCCACCATTGCCCATCCCGTACGTCCGATCTCCACAACTTGTCCACTGTGGACCAACATCTCCCTATGCGCTCTGCCAAGTGAGGTAAGCCAGACCCAGAAAGACAACTCCCAAGGAGTCAGAGCTTACAAACTTAACTCAGAAACAGGAAGTAGGTTGGTAGCTTCAAGGGGGACAGGTGGTGGGTGTCTCCATTGGTGCTAGATGGTACCATTGGCGAGAGGAGAGGACCACGGGCTGAGCCTTAGATATTTCGAGATACATTTTTGAGTTAGAACTTATTGGTCTTCGTGGGGGGCTGAATTTACCGTTTGGGGGTGGCAGAAGGACAAACGTTACTCCAGCTCTGAAGTCGCGCTTGGGCAAATGGTGGGATGCATTGCTGAGGTAGGGCGAGTTTACAAGGACTAGGACTGGAGGAGGCAGAATTAGTGATGTCGTTTGTAAATATTTTGTTATCAAAAATAATATCAATCTCCGGAAGAAGAGCAACCCAGTAGTCTGTCCCTGGTCCAGGTTCCCAGGGAGTTTCCGGGGAATGGAGAAGACGTTCTCTTTTCTGCTTCCCCGGGACACGAGGGCAGTGCCCTCGAGGTTCCCATATAATCATTACGGTTCCTTTTCTGCACCCTCTTTTCTAGATAAACATGATGAACTTGGGGCGCCCTCAAGAAAAATAGGTAAGGAAATGAGAACGGAGCTGTTTCCCATCGTATTTGTCTTATGGTACAGGGGTCCCTTTAATGCCTTCCCTCTCCATGTCATTGGGGAACTGCTTCCTTCTGGGGAGGTGACCTCTAAGCTGCGGCAGGTCTGAGAAAGCTGGTGCCACCTGCCGTGTTACGTGAGGCGCTGGCGGAGCTCGGTGGGGAGTGCGGGTGAGCTTGCGTGACGACCCGGAGCGCAGGTACTTCGGCAGGACGTGCCTCATGCGCACTCCAGTTCTCAAAAGCCGATGCGTATTCAGTTCTTTTTCTGGTTTTGTTGGTGCGTGAACATTTCTCTAAGAGTCTGTCCTCAGAGAGTCTCATAGGAAGTAGAGCAGTTGGCCCAGCTGCCGTGGGGCCGGCTGGAGGGCACTGCCCTGCCATGCTGGGCCCCCGGGAGTGGCGGGAGTGGCGGGTTTGGGCCCGCGTCCCTGAACACACCGGGAAACTGGACAGGCTTGTGTTTCTGACTGGGTGGGAGGCTGGGAGGAGTCAGCGCACGCGGAGACCGGTGGAGGGCACTTCTCTTTCTTCTGTGTTAATTGGTTCATTCGCGCTTTTCTCAGCAATGGGCTGAGACAGAATTTCACAGCCAAATGTGTCATGTGGGGGGCACCGAACTGTCCCATCATCCTTTCTCTCAGTACCTCATCATTCTCCTGGAAAATCTACTCAAGAACATTTATTAAAGGTTGTGAGAATTTATGCTAGGGGCCAGCAGTTAGCGTAATGGCTATGTCGCTGGACTCTCACGTGGTCGACCGCGGTTCGTGTCCTGGACCCGGTGGCTTAAACTCACGCTGCATGTGCGTGCGTGCCCAAGATCCCGAGTGGAGAATGGAGGAGAGGGGATTGCGGCATGGCCATCCCCCCTGGGGGGGGATTTCTCGCTTTCTGTCTCTCTGTCTCTCTCTGTCTGTCTGGCGAGCGCACGTGCCCTATGGCAAAAAACTCTCAAAAAAAAATAATTTATACTAATATCATTCCTCTTTAGAAGGCATGCTTTTGCACAAGAAGTACTCGTCTTTGAAAACATTTTCGGTCAGGGTTGGTAGGCTCGGGAAGTAACCGCTTCTCCGGCACCAGGAACACCCGTGCCGGAAATATTTTCTTGGGGAGATCTCCCCTGATAATGCGGAGGAGCATGCAGTTTCAGGGGCAAGATGGGAGACTCGGTGAGGTGTGAGAGGGAAGAGGAAAAGAAGCTTCCTATCCCGAGTTCTTGCCTGACTTCTTCTCTTTTTTATTGTTGCATTATTCACAGTTCATAAGTTCGCCCTGTACCGTGTACATGCGGTGGCATTGGGTACATGCACAAGGCTTTGCAACCTCGCCACAGTGTAATTTCTCACCTCAACATGAAATCTCACGTCTACTAAGGGGTTACTCCCATTGCCGCCTCCCAGCAGGCTCTGCCAACCATGAACCTGCTTGTCTATTATTCTGCTTAACCTGAACATTTCACGAAAGTGTCTTGTGTGGCTAGTTTCTGTCACTTCCCATAATGTTCTCAGCGTGACACCCTTTTTGATGGCTGGAGAATAGTCCATCACGCGGTTCAACTACAGTTATTTTTTGATCAGTCCATCTGCTGGTGTTCAGGGTGTCTGAACCTTTCGGCTAGTGCAAGGAGTGCTATTATGAACATTGGTGTACAAATACCGGTCTACGTACTTGCTTCTAATTTTCTTGAGTACACACCTAGGAGTGGAATTGTTGGGACACATGGTAACTCTGTTTAACTTTGAGGCGCTGCAAAGTTGTTTTCCACTGTGGCCCGTTCCATTTCACATCCCTGCCCATGAGGCACGTGGGTTCCGGTACCTCCACTTCCTCGTCAACGCTTCTTATTCTCCTTTTTAAATAGCTACCTTAGTGGGTGTGTATATCATTTTCTTCGGTCTTTCTTATCATTTTATTTTCTCCCTTCAACTGTGGCACTAGGATGTCCACATTTTGTCTTAGCTGGTGGGTCTGTGGACACAGGCTTATCCACCCCACTGACCGGCAAGGCCACTGCTGCTTCTTGCCATGGTCCCACCGTGGACCCTGGCCACCCCACCTCGGTCGCCCCTCACCGGCTTTATCCTCACTGTATCGTGCGGCCTCTTCGCTGAATCTCATCCCAGACGTCAGCTTTTCCACGGCTTCCATGCTCTTGCTGTGTTCTCACACAGAATGTGCCTGACCTCTACTGCACTGCCGCCACCTCTGGGCCCTGCGCCTTCTGGTCAGCTCTGCCCCTCCCGGACGCCGCTCGCCTTCACCCCTTCCCAGAGCCACTGTTTCCTTTGGGCGGCATCTTCAAGACTTCTGTTGATAATTTCTTAAAATGTACTTTCTGAGTTCAAATTTATATGAAAATATCTTTGCCAGAGACTAAGTGCATGCTCCAGAGAGACAGAGAGACAGAGACAGAGACAGAGAGGAAGGAAGGAAACAGCCCCGACGGGATGTGAGCACGCCATAGTCCACTCTCCTTTTCCCCGTCCCACTGAGACCTGGGACACAGCACATAGGCCCCGCGTGTTTTTCAAGCTGCCAGGGCCGGGGTGCAGCTGCATTGGGCCGTGTGGGATCGGGTTCCCTTAACCACAAGGCCACGGGGCTAGCCCAAGGTCAGCTTTGTAGCACCACAAGCATAAACCAATGAAAAGGTCTTTAAGCACAGAAATGATGTCCCCAGTCTGTATTCGTATGCCTCAAAGCCACCAGGAAGGGACTCTCCGCAGAGACTGGTGATGAAGTTTGTCACTTGACTGTGACCAGGCCAGACGGCTTTTCCAGTGCCTGCGACTTGACCTATGCCCGAGGTCAGGCCGTACCCACTGCTCATGATCCCGTTATCGGAGAAACTCTGCTCACTGTTTGGGCAGTGTGAACAGTGATGTGAAACTTGGCCCGGCTGTGTGGACGTCTCGCAGAGAACCCCGCTCAGCCGTAGCGAGGTGCTACCAAGAGGAAACTTGCGTAATGACTTACTTCTCGTTTCTACGAACTGCTGTGCTAGGAAGGGGTGAGTGGAGAGGACGAGGCGGGGGCTGCTCCGTCCCTACCGAGGGGCTCTGCCGCTCAGGAACAGCCATCGGCGTCCCTGGGAAGGCGCTCGTGGGACTGTGGCTTTCAAGGGTTTCTTAGATTCAGCTCTCGCAGGAGCTGCTCTTAGACAAATGTTAGTGTGAAAGAGGCATTTTACAGGAAGGCGGACGAGGGGGAGAGCGGAAACACAGGTG